GCTTGGCTTCTGGTTTTCACAGAATCCCTGACTTCTTGCTGGATGGGCTGCCAAACAGCTGGAAAGCCAGGTCTCCAGGAGCTCCTAAGCTTTTTGGCTTAAGTTCTTCAAGCTCTCAGGCAGCTGCTTTGCACTTAGGATCTGAGGCTCCCCAGTTTGGGAGACATAGGTTACGTTCTCAGTTTCCTGTTGCTTCCCAGATTTCAGGTTGTGTTTTACAGGAGGAACTGGGCTCCTAAGGACCTCAGGGCAATATATGGCAGTTCATTCTGGATCTAGGATTGCATGTCTGTAGGAGCCCAAACACTCCATGACAACTGGTCCACTAAACTTCTAGGCAGCCTGTGGCAAGAGTCATTGGAGAGGTTGGCACTTTGTGGCCCTGGCAAGTATGGCAACCAACTATGAACTCACCAAGCCACTTTGTAGGCTTCCTAAATCTCCAAGGACCCTGCTATTCTGTAAAGTCTGAGGGGCAAGCCAAAAATTCCTTTTTGTCTTTCTTATGTCTGTCTTTGTAACAAAAACCTAAAAATTTGTACACTACATCCAGATTATCAAGAATTAAAAAATGCATAAAATTGAGATAAAATTTAGGGAGGTAGGTATGAATGATGTTAAAATACGATAATGTCTAGAGAAAACAAATAGGCAAATGGAAAGAGATCAGTAAAGAGCATTAAGTTTGAACTGCCAAGATTTCCGTATATAAATACAAGAAGCATAACAAGGAAAACAAAGAAACTGGAAAATGCTGTACATACTCAAGCAAGGAGTTTTGACGTTACAGGCTTATCCAAAGAAAAGTACATAAACAAAAATATATTGGAACTATTTAAGTAAAATTTTTAAAATATAAACAAATGAACAACAGTTTGCATTATGGGGAACTGCTAATCTTCATACACTGGAGTTATTAATCAGTAAAATGTGTTAAAAACAAAAAAAAAGTAACAGAATATTTACAATGGCAAATAATCTTTCTAACTGTTAAGTATCAGAAGAATTTCAAAGTTCAGCTACCTTTCCTGGTTACTTTTAATACAGAAATGTCCATTCTAGTTTTATACATATGGTTACACTACAATTTCCTTAACAAGCAAAATTTATATAGAAATCTTAAATAACATGGGTCATTTGCAGCATATTTTCCACCCACGTTAACTCCAGACTGCTGCCTCCAGTAGAAGTCACTACCTTAGCAAAAGTGAAGGCTACTTGACCATCACACATGCTCATCTCTTGGCCCTTCCCTCCTAAACCTGATTTAGTTCTGCTTTTGCATTTATTTTGCGTGTAAGAGAAAAGAGATTTTGTGCGTGAAAAAGAATGGACATTCTCTTTCCCTTTATGTAGGAAATACACAATCATCTTTAGATGGCTGATCATCCTTCATCACACTCATGAAATTCCACTGAGAGGGTGAAAAGGAAGAAATGCATTTGTGTGTGTTGGGGGGGGTTGGATGACACTTTATCAGAAAAGTGAGATATCATTTTACAAATACGTTTTAAGAAAATAGGATAAAAAACTTTCCCTTTCTTCCCTCAAATTCCCAGTCTCAGACTGTTTACTTGAATAATTTTGACAGACTTCACACACAGCTGACTTCCAGAAGTTCTTTAAGAAAGCCTTTACAGTTGTAGTTGTAACAAAGGTTAAAATTTAAACTTTGAAAGCTGAAAGCTGACAAAACAGAAGAAAGGATGAGGCCTTACATTATGTTTGCACCCAAAACTGTATTAAATACAAGGAAGGAAAATAACCTCTAAAACTTTGATTTTTACTTTTATTTTATTTTTTATTTCAAAACATACTATTTATACGTTCCTCTGTGAGGAAACAGTTGACAGTGTTCCTCTCATCACCATAATGCCTTTGGATGAATTTTATGATAGCCCAAATAACATCTTTGTGGAGTTTCTCTCAGTTTTTCTGTTTGGGCTGATGTACATTGGGATAACACTATAAATACTGTTTTTTTCAAAGTAGCATCATAACCAAATATTGCTGTTCCAACATCAACAGAGTTCAGTAGACTTTTCTTAGCAATTTTTCACAATCATTTGTGGTTTTTGGACAGTATACTTACATTTTGTCGTTACCAATGTGCCTGCAGTAGTAACTTTTCCTTTTGGAAATAACTAATTTATACAAATATGTTTCTAATAAGATAATTAATTTGAATAAGTGGTTCAGCTCTTCTAGCCTTACAGTTTAAATAAAGGTATACCTTAATTTATCCAAAATCATAAGATATTTTTCTAAGACTCACAGGTAGCATTGATAGGTGCAGTACAAATTTTCTCATGAGTTCTACCAGCTAAATTATGCCACTGCCAAACCACCTGTAAGATCTTCACTCTACAAGCCACTCTTAAGGCTAAAATTATTTAGAAATAATGCTGGCATACAGAGGTCATGACTGATCTCAAACCAATATTATGACTGTCAGAGTTATAACAGTTTATGTACTGTAATGTATAATTTATATCCTCTGTTTAAAAAGTCTTAAATCTGTCACAGACCAAATAAAGTTGATCTAAATCATACTGATGTAATAAACAATTTCACTTCGCTATATCATCCTGATGTAATCAGCAATATTGTCAGTCCAGTTCTACAATACTATTCTATGGGAAGTACCCTGAACCAGCTACCATAATGCAACTGTTAATTTATATAACCTAAGCATATTGGCACTTAGATTCTCCTCCCTTTTTTGCCATTAACTTCTTGGCAAATCAGACCCAAATGCTCAAAAACATCTTTGAGAAGTCACCTGGGCATTCTGTGACTCATTACTTTCTAACTGTAAAACAGAAATGGTGGGTTTTCTAATCTTAAACAGATTATGGTAGGAGTAAGTGCATGAGAGATGTCCATGTACTCACACACTATAGCAAAAAGAGCCATATCAGTATGATAGATTAGCTTCTATGATTTTATAAGTATCATAGCAAATAATGTTTAAGTTGTATATACACAAAATATCTGTGCAGGAAAATGGATGCCGTATTAAATTTTATAAAATTTGTTTTGGATACTGTTAACAAGTTCTTTTTCATCTGTGAAGGTCCACACTACAGAAGACAACCACTACGGCTTCCGCAAAACAAAACAAAACAAATTCAGACTTCAAGCTCAAAGCTATTGGAAACATGCTTTGCAGTTTCAAGTACAGGCTTGGAAAATCCAGAGTGCACATAACTCATTTAAAGTCACATACTTATTCCTGCTTTTGAGTCAAGCACTGCATAAACCAAATCGTGCTTCTTGGAAGACCATGTAAATTGTTGAGTATTATTAACTGTGAATAAAAAATCAAAATTTTGTTTACACAGAAATAGTTACTGCATCTCCACAGTTTGGCTATAATTGCTGCTTTATACATATTTCTTTCCATTCAGTGTCAGAGGAAAGGGTATTATTGGTAGGTTTGTTTCAGTGTGCCACTCTGCCTCAGTCTCACACAAAAGACTCTTTGTGGGGTCACAGATTAGCATTTGGGCAGGCAGCCAAGAGAGATGAAAGGAGAGTGGCTACACTAAGGATGTACATAGCTTACACTCATCAAATACCCTGGGGGAGGGAAACAGAGAAAAAAAATATCTATGTAGTCTGTAATTTCAGTAGCTGTCCCCTATCCCTTTAGCTTCTGAAAATGTGTTTTTAGTCAAACCTCTAGCAATGCAGAGCTCCACTCTGTCAGTGCAGGTCATGGAGTCCTATGCATAATGAGTACTAAGATAAAGTAATATTTTAACATTTAGTTATAGAAATATTGTTCAAGAGATAGGCAGGTATAGTCAGATCTTGACAGAAGAGACATGTATGCACCCTATCATCAGGTAATATAAAACTTTCATACTAGATTATATGGTTTTTTTAATTAAAAAAAAAAAAAAAAAAGATAATCCAGAATAACCAGGATGTTTTAAAAATGACAAATAAGCTGTCTTCATAGAAATCATTGTGAAGAAATAGAAAATGCTGAAGTTTTAAAAATCAGGAGCAAATGTTCTTGAAACACCTTCATCCACATATCTGTACATACATCTATCTATTTACATAAATAACAACTACAGTGTTCTCAGTTCCAGGCAGGAAATGCTGCCTGCAAAGGATCCTAAGGATATCTACCTCTCTGAGGAAATTTCCGTTCTTTACATGGTCAGGTTTCAAACTGTACGTAGAAGGATATGTATTTTTAGTATAGCAGAGAGAAGATACAAAAGTTGCATTGAATATGGAGCTAAATTAGAAATGGAAGATATTACTGTAAAAAAAAAAAAAAAGGATAAAAGTCTACTTAATATTCTAGGAAACATTTAATGAGAAACAAAACCTTCCACATTTATTTTACCACAGGTCAGTGGTAAGAAATCATTGAAGATGAGTTACAGATTATACACAACATTTTATCTCTACCTTGGAACTGACATGAAATACATGAATAGTTCAGTCTTCTGTGCAAACTGACCTGCACAACAACCACTATTCACAACTGGCACTTTTTGTTGGCAGTCTCAACAGAAAATCTATGGATTACATTGGCACCAAGACTGAAATATGCTCTGAAACCGAAAGACAGTCTCTTGAGAATGCAGTTGAAGTACCTCATAGTGGTGAACAACTACAACTATCTATGCTATTCAAAGCCCACGAGTAAAAGCTTTCTGTTTCCAGCATTGTCAGATCAGCGTTTTCAGCATACTTTGTTTGGGAACAGGAAGTTTGGATCCTGACAAGTTATTAAATTAATTCCAAACACGTTAAGTGCTCTAAAGGCAAAACAGAATGCCTCCATCTAACACAAAATGAGTTCTAGATGAGGGCTACTACTCTATTTTTAACAAATGAATACATCAATTACTTAAAGCAGTTAAAGGAATGAAATACATGTTAAGTGGCAAACAGCAAAGTATTGCTGTAAGTCATACAAATACAAAAACTGTATGTGAATATATATGTAACAAAGCTATTAAATACTTTCTCACCTTAGCATTTTCAATGCATGGACAAATAGCCCAAGCTGCACTTGCTTGAACATCTGGATTAGGATTCTTCAACAACGACCATAACAAACGAACTCCATCTAAACGGTCGATTATCCTATCAAAGGAATTGATCAGAAAAAAAGAGATAATTAATTATGGAGTACACAATGCTAAATTTTAGATTGTATCAGTTTGTTTGAGAAACTACTTTAAGAAATATTGGTATGCTTTTCTTTAGCGTACTGTTTTGCTTTACGTAAGTACTTGTGTTCTGTTGTCAGCTGACTGCCATCAACATACACAGTAAACATTGCTTGCTATTGTAGATGGGTGTGAATAAATTATGTAAAGACAGGATATGTTTTCCAACTAAATCTTTTGAGTGTTGTTTACGTTTTTATCAGTACTGTGATTCAAAATGCTTATAGAAGATAAAGTGAACTGCATTATAACCAGAACTCATGTAAAAGTAGAAGTAAGCATGTGACTTTTTAACGATCTGCATGTAAACTGAAATCTGAATTCAAGCATACTAGCTTCTTTCATATAGTAACAAATACTTTCCAAAACAAATATTTATGCCCAAAACTATGTACTTAACTTTTTATTCAGTCTATGCTTAATGTATTTACCTTACTGTACAACATATTTTAAGGTACTACGTTTCTAATCTAGCATTAGAAATTAAAATGGTCACACCACACTGCACCCTTTGTTGGTCATGAATAACGTGTAACTTGTTTCCCATGTGTTCCTTACCAACAAGACTAACATTGAATATTATGTTATAATTACTTAAACACACTGTAATCAAAGTATCTTCATGACTAGCTGAAAAATGAGTTATCATCAGAATCATCTCTACACCATCTGTGTTATGTTTACATATCAATCAGGCCTGGGGATCATAACGTCACATTAGGGTACAGTGAATACCTTAAATAGAAAGGAAGGTCAAACAAAACTTAACAGCTTTTACAAACATTCCTATTTTTCAAAAAGATATATTTAACCCAAAGCAGATGAGCTGAAGATAAAGGAAAGCAAGTATACTTTTCTAACCTCAGAAGGAAAAAATTCTGTTGTATACATGCAAGTCTACATCTTTAATTGTAAATACAAGATAAGGGAAATAAAGTACAGGTTACATCTTATTTGTGATCACTGTAAATACATTTGCCAGGAAATTTTTAAACTTATTATAAAATCATTTCTTTACGCACTTCTGCCATCATGTGAAGAAGGAAAATAATTAAGGGCATGGACTCTGTCTAAAATAACCACAGACTTTAATCCCAACATTTTTATGCAAACATGTTAAACAACTATGTTTTCAAAACAATAACTTTCTGCACAAAAGGTTGGTTAAGCTGAGAAACCATAAATTGTTGTGTTTTTTTTTTTTTTTTTTTTTTTTTTTTTTAAGATCTGCTCATTTAATACAGCTTATTTTACTTACTCATTTCCAAATCAACTGCAAGAATATCATAATTCAACAGAAAAAAATCAGAAATCGTAATACAAATTAGAACAGCATGATCATAAACTACACAATTACATATGTATGTCTACATAATAAGGATGACTTCAGTATAAATGTCAAACAAGCTTTTAAATCTCTCCAAATCCCCCAAACTTTCAAGCAATTTTAATAATACTTTCCTGTCATTTCAGAAAGCACATAGAATTTTTTCCTATATTGGACTTAATTAAAAAAAGATCCATGAGTGTTTCTTCTAGTCAAGCAGAGCACTGATCACTTACCAACACGAGATACTTCCTCCCGAGAGGGGCTAAATATAAATGACCCAACTCCAACCAGTATATAAAAATCAAGTGATAAAAGTCAAACACTGAGTTCAGATTTTTCTACCACATTTAAGAAAACAACCTCTAGGCTGATTTATCTTTTTTTTTTTTTTTTTTCTTTTTCAAAGCCTTCTTGCCAATTTAAAATTCACTTTCTTCTCAGTTTTCTTGTCTTCTCTTCAGCTTTTCAAGGCAAACTACCCTCACTCTATGGTTCCTTTTCTAAAGAAAATTTTTGCCTTTTGGTTGAAGACCAGAAATATGAGTTGTCTTAGACTCAACAGAATAGCTCAGAATATCTGAAAGTGTTGTCCTCAGTCCATTCAATGTGTATAAAACAAAGAATGGTATGGAATAAACAAACAAATCCCCAAATTACATTCTTCATCACCGACCAGTGGTTTCACTCATTTATACTAGATTAACTCAAATGTTCTTCTATGCAGAAGAACGATACTGTCAAAATTTCATACTGGAAGAATTATGGTTGTGTCACCATAGAAGCACAAACCCTTTTATTTCCATCTTACTAAGAATATACATTTGCCAATTAAAGAAAGCATTGGTAAACACGTGACTAAATCCCTTCTCAATTCCATTTTTTTCAACCTTTACGTGGTTTCAGTGTAGCAGATGAAGAAACCGGATGTTAAACTAGCATGTCTGCTATAAAAGCAATGGGAACACTAAAATAAATGGCCCTGAAAAATGTTTCCTCTATAAAAGTGTTTGGATGTTAGTTTCCTTTCTATATGAAAATTCCTTTTTAAAGAGGGCAAAAACATGCATTCAAATTTCTTTACAAATAAAGACAGACCTGTAATCTTGAAAATTTCAGCTCTGATGGCATCACTCTAACCAATATTCAGATTTGTTTGTACAATGCTTTTGTATCTAATTTTCATCCCCAAACTGATTATAACATCATTAGCAGGACACTGTAATATAGCTACTTATCACAATAAATACAAAGAAACTGTAAAATTTCCTTTGGTTGGCTTTCAGTTCTGCATTCATTCATATCTAGTACATTAGTTGCCCTGTGGTTACAGTCACTGAGATGAGATGCTTTCTAATAATTTGTTGATGTAATAAAGGCAAAACTAAGCTACAGTTAAAGCTGTATTAATCATGGGACTGTTAAAGAAGTGGTCTTTAAATAAAGAGGCAGAATATTTTGAAAGCTGAAGGGAATCTCATAAAAGCTGAAATAATGTGATATTTAGATGATATTTAAAAAGTTTTACTATTTAATAATTTAAAGTTTAAACATTTAACTGGTTTATACAATAGCTGTATTGTATACACTTAAAGAATCTAATGTATAGAACACTATTAATAGCATGAATTTTAACAGGCATGAAACTCACCCAAAGTAGGAATATTAATTTCATTATAGGTAATTACTATCTGTTGCTTCACTACAAGTACACAGTGCTATTTGCTATTTGACCAGTGCAGATAACTTCACAAGACAGTTTTTATGAATGACTTGCAGTGGCTGTTTATAGATCACAGTTGCTTAATAGAGGCTTTTTACATTGCATTTATGAAACTTGATGTCATAGCGCCACTGAATATCACGGTATGTCTGCAAAAATTTGGTCACAATTCTAGGAATTTACATTGTTTTCTAAAATATATCTGAAACTAGCAAAACTGTTAATCTGAAATTGTACTCCTCTTTAGAATTCAGATTTAATATTGTACCTTTCCAGTAGAAACTTCAAAATGAATTGCTTAAACACCACACACACAGAGCATAGGCATCTGTTTGTCATATCTATCATCTTTTTCTGTTACAGTATTATTTGACAGAACTTTTGAGAAGTCTAGTTCTATTGTCTGCCAATTTAGACCACTAATACAGATATAAATAAACAAAGTTAAACTGACTCTGTATTGTGCTTACTGGTAAGATTACAGGGTTTAATTCTGGCAGATTGTAATCTTGTCTTTTCTGAAACCACAATTTAGTATGTTTCTTAAAACTTCCACTATTTGCTAGAGTGCTTTAATGAATAGAATTATATACAAATGTCTTCAACTCCATCTGTCTGGCTAAAATATTTGTACATTTTAATTTATAATATTCTAAAACATCAGTTTTGAATGCTAGAGTTGAAGTCTATGGGTTTTCGAATGAAAAGTGCAAATGAAAATCTAATGTTGGCTAAAGAATGAGCATTAATAGTCTGGTTTTGATAATATAAAAAGAATAACTGTGAAAGTTCTTTAAAATGACAAACATACATAAAAGATATGCAGAGGCATCTCTGTCAATGCTGTGCAGCAGCACTCTGCAGCAGACAGAGTGTGGAAAACAGGTTCAGCTTATTATTGCTGTAAGAGAATCGGGTTGCCAATCTTTATACAGAAGATTTAGATTTGCCCATGCCAATCTACTACTCCTCTTTGTCAATGCATGCTTCTTCCATGGAACATATGATAAAAATACATTATTTCCCTCAGTATTTAACTCCACTGTTTCACGGAACGTGCTCTGTTTTTTTTTATAATCCAGAATCAAATTTTATTTCCTACATGAATCCTATCCTCTTCATTACATACCCTTGAATCACTCACAGAAACTTCATGAGCTCCACCCTTTCAGTGTGTGTGGTTTCCACATGCCTACTGCTGCAAGTATAACAGTCAAAATAGAAGACTGTTCAGCTGAAAGGCTCTAAGGCTAACTTTACTAAGCACATGCAGCTAATAGAATGTGACAATATATTTGAAAATTCTCAATTCTTACTGAGAGTTAGATACTAACTTGAAATTTTCCTGCTTTGCTCTGGGTTTCTAGTACATATCAAGGTCAATGACAGCAGGATCCATAAGAATCATCATACTTCTAGGTGTTTCTGTAGTGCTAAATTAAAACAGAATCTCTCTAAACACTGCTTGTCCAAACCAAGTGACAAATAAGACAAGCCTTAAGACCTAACAGCCAAATTGACAAGAGAAAAGCTAATAGAAAAGATCAACTGATCTCCTAGACCCCATCAAGACATTCCATGAAAAGATGATTACAAAATAAGGAATGTAATAATGATTCATTCAACTGAACCAGGAAGACCAGAAACAGATAATTATCAAACTTCAATAGAAAGTCATCATGTGTATATACTTAGAGGCTACGAAGTGGCTTTGCTTCTTTCCAGAAGAACATCTTGGAAGATCTCCACATTCTTGTTAAGATGAGCAATAGATTGTAAAGAGCTGAAAGCATTAGAAGAGCTCAAACAGCGTTTCTCAGATGTATTTCAAGACAGCTATTCTTAGCACAACAAAGCAACTCATGAAACAACAACAAGAAAAAAAAAAGTGTAAGACATAAAAGGGAATGAGATGGTAGAGCTGTGCATCCTCTTCTTTCCAAATTAAAGTTATTAGTACAGTAGGAAAGCAAATGTTTCCAGGTACTTTGCTACCACATGGATCTTTTAGATGTCTTTTAATACTTCGATAAGATTAAACAAGAATAAATAAGGTAATAATGGGAATAGTAGAGTGGCTAGCACCTGAACTATTTTTATCATATAATCATACAGTGATAGAATATACAAGTTGGAAAGGACTCACAAGGATCATCGAGTCCAACTTCTGGGTCCCCAAAGGACCACCCAAATAAATAAATAAATAAATAAATAAATAAATAAATAAATCAGACCACATGTCTGAGAAAATTGTCCAAATGCTTCTTGAACTCTGGCAGCTTGGTGCCATGACTGTGTCACAAAAACACAATGCACCACATACTCGGAATTTGAGCATCCTTAGCATGCAGTGTTCACAGTCTGGAGCTTTCATATCACTAATTTATAAATTGAGTAGCAATATATCAACATATTCAAACATTAAAAAATAAAAAAAATATCTCAGAAACAAAAGGCTGAGTCCCACATTCTGCAATTAGAACAAAGTGATACTACAGATCAGGTATCCTACATGTGTTTGGTGACCCACTCTTCTCAAAAAGAAGATTGGTTTGTATGCGGAGTTAGTCTCAGCTCCTGCTATACTGGTCTGAGGAGGAGGATAGAGAAGAGGAATGGATGGCCCATGATTTGGGGTGGGGGAAGAGGGGAATCTAATACTTTAAGCCTGCAAGAGGCAGAGTCCTCAACCAAACAAATCATTGAAATGTGTGAATAATTGCATTGATATTGATGTTTAAACTAAGCATCGTTTAAACATTGTGATGGATCAGGATCAAACTTATCTGCACCTGGCTGAATCGTGCCTCTGGAAAAAAATGCATTATCTCTTCTAGTGCTACGAGTCTGAACTTGCACTAGCACAATACTTCAGGTAAATGTCACAGTAATAGACGTAATTTCTCTGTAAGTGTTTTTGTTGTTGTTATTGCTGTTGGAGCAAAAAGTATATTTTGCTCCTGGAATAAGTTCCTTGCTAATGTTTTAAAATATTTTCAAAATATTAATAAATAAAAACAAATGTTGAGAACCTTTGATAAAGATTTTTTTTCATATGAACTGAATTCAACATTTCAATCCTTCACCCACTCTTGGCAAACTCTTTCAAGTTTCCTCCCAAACAACCTGTACTCTCTCCTTAAAAACAAGATGGACTTTGTTTTATCACAATTTTAGCAGCAACTTGTGTTATTTTTGGTGCTTATGCTGACCACATTCCAGTGTGAAGCTATCCATACTGGATATTACACGTGGTAGTCCTGAGTACTGGCATATGTCTGAGGTTTCATAATACCAATTTATATTTATTAGCTTTGAAATTTCTTGGTTGATTTACAGAGTTAATTTTGTTAATACATTACAGCAAAGGTAGACATTTAGTATTCTTCATTTGAGATGCACAGTGAAGATGATTTCATTTATGTGTACTTTTCTGCTACATGGCTAACTGTTCACACAACCCATGTTTACAGTTGTGTACCATCTAGCCTTTTGCCACTGGGTGACAGCCAAAGCATGAAAACAAAAGCCCTATTCAGGAAAAGAATTCCCTGCACTGCTATATGAATATCAAGTGAATTATGCAAATCAGAACAGGAGGAGCTTACTAAAACTCTTTTTCTGATCTTCCATATGTATAAGGAAGGAAATATGCTGAGAATCTTGAGGTAAATATCCCTGTAAGGGAACAGGAAGAACAGTAAATGCCCACCTCAACTTTTAACTGGAACACTTAATCATAAAGCTCAAGGATCTTTGTAAGCTGTACAAATCTACATCACAAAACTGAAGAGAGCAGCAACTTTCTGAGTAAAAAGGCAGTCTTTCTCTTTGGTCTTGCAAAGGAGTAAGAGGAAAGAAAAGGATGCAAGAAAGTCTCAGTTCATAAAAGGAATTACAAAGAGGGACAGAACAGATAAAATACAAATAACACCCTATTTCAAAAATTTTGAAATTATTTTTCATGACAGTAAATGCACACATTTCTTTTGGAATTGCTTTCTCTAATTTAGGAAATTAGTTATGATTCAAGAACAGATGTAAAAGGAAAAGAGGCATAAGCAGGTACCTATCATACAGCACTTGTAAATAGGTGCTTTGTAACTTTGAAATTTAATTTTAATAAAAATAATTTCACTACAGTTCTATATGATTTACCCCCAAACATAAAAGCTTTATATTCTATACATTTTCTCAAGGAAAAAAATGTATTCCTATTTAGCACATTTACAGTAAGAAATAACTAATCCACACAGTAAAATTTCCTTTTAAGTCAGACTATAATTGACAAAACTAAAACCTTCTAAAGCGTTTAACCTGAAATTGAGTCTACTACTAATGCTGATGAACTGATAGAAGTATAGTAGGCAGTCCTCAACCCCGAGTTGAATTACCACAAACTGGAAATAGCTTTTCAAACATCCCTATTACATGAACCAACTATTCTGTGATCAAAATGGCATAAAATACAATTTGAACACAGGAAAAAAAACTATTTTACAGTGAGAAAGTTCAAATACTGGAACAGGTTGCCCGGAGAGGATGTTGAGTCTCCATCCATGGAGACATTCATAACCTGACTGGATGTGGTCCTGGGTGATTTGCTTTAGCTGACCCTGTCTGAGCAGGGGGGTTGGACTAGATGATCTAAATAGGTCCCTTCCAACCTCAATGGTTCTATGATTCCATGTTATCTGATTGTAGAGAGACATATTTTTAATATTTTGTAACAAATTTTAAATGTCATTGCATGTGAACCTTGAATATTCTCCCCAAAATATTAACAATATTTCTCTCAGAATTACTCAAAATATGTATTTTTTTGCAATATTCACAATGTCAATATGAATGGCTTACATCATATTTTCAGGTTCTGTTGCACACGCTCCCACTGCTTTTGTTACATTCACAAGCAGTGCCTGATTGGTTCCAGTGAGTAACTTCACTAGGGGTGGTATTCCGCCACATTTACGGATAATAGCTCGATGTCTTGGTTCTTGGCAACATTCTCCCAGTGCTCCAACGATATTTACAAGGACTTCTTCAGGTTGATCAGTGAGCAGTCCTACCAAAACTTCTACGACTTTATAATCATGAAATCTAAATGACAGCAATAAAAACAAAGTAGTTGTTATCAGTATGTTACTACTGTAAGGTAGTCCTTAATTTCTGTAATTAAATTATCTTGATGAAAAAAGCACAATATAGGTAAGCCATTCCAATTAGTTCTTGTAAGTGCGACATATAGCATCATTTCTTACTTTACCTTTTTAACTATATTTCTCTATTTTACTGTTCTAGAAATACAAAGAGTAGTTTGAGGAGTGTTGAAAATTTAACATGCGGATGAAACATCTTTAACTAGCTGTAAACATACTGGAAGACTAGCAAGTACAGTGGCATCCTAACTTCCATTTCTTTTTTCTGCCATGTTAACAGTAGGTAGAGCAGGAGTGTATCTGACCCTCTTCCACCTTTCTGGAGCCAAAGGATCACCCTGACGATTCAAACCCTTTGAGGTTTACCCTCATCAGTTCTATAGCTAGTTCAGGCCTAATATGTGCATTTTCTTACTGTAAGACTAGAACTATGTTAGATTTAATTCTGAAATTAATAAAATTAAGAAAATAGTTGACAGATATTTGAGTTGACTTTTACATTAGTACTTCCCTCATAGCACTTTTGGTACTGATGATCAAAAACACGTTTGTAAAAATCCTGGAGTTTTCTTGTGTGGGCTCCATCCTACAAACAGATGCATGCTAAACCTCAGAATTTAATCTTTTGGAACAGTCCTTTAGTTCTCAGCACTGGGGTCACCCCATTTCTAAGTTTGTTTTGTTCAGAACTTAGAGGATTCTTAATGCTCAACAAATATCCTATTTTCCTTTTGCACCTTTTCTATGATACACCTTGACAATTCCACTTAGTGTATCAAACTAGATCTAGCCTGTATATCACCTATTAGTTATGCTTTGATATATATTTTTGTGTAAATATACACGGTTCCTCTCCTAAAAAGATAAATTATCTGAGAGAACTGTTTTCACTTGTGCTCCCCTTATGTCCTCCAGCTTCTGCAAATGTCTACTTGAACTACAGCTACTCATTTTCCAGGAATCAGCTGTACACGACTTTTCTTTCGTAAAAAAAAAAAACAAAACAAAAAAAAACAAAAACAAACAAACAAACAAACAAACAGTATTTTTAATATTCTGATAGCAGATCTAGAACTCTGTTTCAATAAAAAAAAATTAATCTTTCCAAGTGGCTTATCAGTATAAAAATTAATGTTATACTGTGAAATTATAAACTTTATTTTTGTCTGATTTGCTTGGATCTGATAAACATTTGCTTAAAGAGAAAGTCTTTGTTCAATGTAATTTGGAAGTGTCCCTATATTTATATTTCTTTTTTTAAAGAGGAAACACCAACAACATGAAAACAGAGCAACAAAGCAAGTGAACAATTTCAAAAAGAAAAATACTGATTTTCACCGACTATTTTATCAGTGTTGCAGACGAACTGCTTCATGGATGGAATAATATCAGCTGGCTCTGTGATGGGCAGGCTACAGTCTGACAGAGTTGTTGGCTCAGGCCATCTTGTGTCCAGAAGCAGTATGGCTGCTTGCATACAAACAGGAATCTTAGTCAGGCGTAGGCACTTGTACCAGCTCACTGCTGAGTCAGCACAGCATCTCGGCAATATACTTCAGGTATAGGAAGTATTGCAGAGTAGTCTGAAGGTAATTAAGTTGCCCTGCAGGAACCAGCAGGGTTTGTTAGTTCTAGCCTCATGCCAGACTTAAAGTCATCCCCCCAGATCTACTTACGTGATTTCATATCATCCTTCCTCCCTGTTCTGTTTTGTTCTCCCATCCCTGACTTTTGATTGGGTTTATTGCCTCAGACTCAGCAGTGCATAATACATGAATTCAGCTCAAGTCTGGAGCTGTGCCTGGCTAGTAACCTTCATGGAGCTTCAAGCCCTTGCCAAAGATATGCGAGTAGCCCAGCAAAAATCTGTTTGCATTTGCACAGAATTATTGGCTACAACTACACTAATAAATAAAGCAGGCGATGGCTCATTCTGGAGCCCTGAGGACAAGAAGCACAACACAGCATCCATATGGCTAAAATCTCTTACCCTCACAATTCAGGGTGGCCTCACCCATTCTGCCTAATGGAAACAATCTGCTGCCTGTGCTGTTCCCAAGGGGTGTCTGGGCATTGTCTGGAAGAGCTCTTGCTGGCACAGGCCAAACTGTGTGAGAGATCGTGCTAGCAGTTAAACAGCATGGATAATCATAACATAGTGACTGAACCTGAGATTAGGTCCTATTTAGTTTACCAGTATAGACAGAACCACTCAGTTCATCTCGTCACTGATCTGGAACCAGGATGCCTCTGTGCAGACACCCAAAGCTCACAGAAAGGGAGGATATACCTTTCTGAAAAGCCAGGTAACTGTGAAATGAGGAATGCAATAAAAAGTAGAACAGAAGTACAGTATGTAAAGACCATGGCTCTGTATAAGAGCAGTTTGGGAACTCATTTAGGATAGTAAAAAGCTACACTGTAAACCCAGATTACTGGAATTCTTTCTGTTTTTTATCCAGTACTTATCTATTATATCTGTTTGTCCAGCAGAGTACACTAAAATTAGGGCTGCAGGAAGAGGTTACCTTTTATTGATTCTCCTCCCAGTCTGTGAATCTCATTCCTCTGTACAGAGCAGCATAACTTCAGCAGGAAGCTTAGCACATACTCCAGTAGAGCAGGCATTTTTTTGAGGTAAGGTGCATGAATCAGATGTATTAATTTAAGATGAGAAGGGCCAGGTATTCTGAGTCATTAAGCTATTCCATAAAAGATAGAGTGATAATTCCTGCTGTCAAATTCTTATATAACCACTCTGGACCATGATACTAAGAGGATGTAAGTACCTATGGTAGGACTCACTACAGTTAAATGCAGTCCTTTAGAAGTTGGGTGTCCAGACCAAGCTACTTTTCTGAGCGCCTTTTATAATCAAGAAAAGAGGCATTTAGGCTAATTATCCTAGCACCCAGTATATTTCTAAAGCAGGTGGACCTAATGGATATTAGATACTTACCTCAGAGTGAGATAATGTTCACTCTCTCTCTCAACCTAAAATGTTAAAGCTAATTGTGCTGACTACACTCTACCGTGCAGCCATGATTGCAGTTTGCAAGCGAGAGAAGAGTGGGTATATAAGATACACATACACGGAAAAATATTTTATGTGTGTTAGTACACCTCCTGGCTTAGTCTTCTGTATATTAACTATTGTTCAGAGGCACCAATTCTCCCCGTTAACTGTTAAGATTCCAGGAACTTAACGCTGTTTCCAATGCACCCTGATGAGGTCACCAACAGTTTTTGGTATAATAAAACCTAAGTTGAAAATCCAACTAATCATAAAACATGGTTTTGCAGAATAATGACATAATATTTTGAAAACAATAGAGGCCCACAGAATCAAAACATGATAATGTAATAAATATTTGTAAAACTAAATTGTTACTTTGACACATTCTCTCCACTGATTGCACATTTCCAGATTGCTCCTGTCACAGCTGCTAAAAGTTGTTTATTTTCGGAGTTACCAAGCAGAGTAGATAGTGGTAGTAGACCTCCATGCAGTCTAACCAGGTCACGTGTTTCTTTATCTTCTGCACACTATACAAAAAATTAAATACACATATTATGCAAAATGTGTAAAGCAATGTCTTCAAAAGTTATGTGCATTGTGTTTTAACTAGTCAAATCTAACACAAATGAAAATGCAAGTATTTTATTAAAGTGCCTGAATATGCTAACATTTCACTAAAGGAGTTTAGGCAGTAAACAGCTACTGTAGCAGTGTTTACACTGTCACATTGTCCACTTTGTGGGCAAATAAACAAAAAAATGCATCTTCTTGCACAATAAGCCCTGCCTCTCTCCACTGGTTAACTGGAATTTAGGGCTTGCACACAAGAGGAATAAGAAAATGACTGCAATATCAAAATGCAGCTAAAACATCCTCATAAAAATCAAGCCAAGGATCATCAATACTACTACAAAGTAGTATCTCACACAATAAAGAGTAAAATTGAGAAATACTATATGTAAACTACATAGAAACAAAGTGTTAACCCTGGCTTTTATCTAATAAGTTAATACAATTACCTTAAATATGGCACTAGCACAATGCATCTGAAGCTCCTCATGCTCAGTATTCAGATTTTTCACAAGGTGCTCAATCATTCCTTCTGTCCTTATTGCCAGTCTGTAACTTGGCTAAAAATACAAATTGCACATTTTAAACCCTGTATGTTTACAGTCAGCATCACCAGTCACAATTAAAACACAGCATTACAATTTAAGTCTTTGATATTTTGAAACCTTGTACTTTATTTTAAGACCAAGCCATGTGCATTGCCCTGGATTGATGTTCTCAAAGCTAAACAAATACATAAATTCTCTTCGGGGCTGTGGTCTTCAAATCTCCAGTAAAACCAGGAACTGCAATGCCTACTTTGTAGCCACCCGACTTACAAGGTGACCAGCATTCCTGCTCAGAGACAGAGGAGGAACAGATGCTTCAGAATGGGATCAACCAGTAATCAGTCTACTTCATCTACAGCTGGAAATCAAAACAACAAATCTATTCCTAGAATAAGGCTAGAAAAATATGTTCTTAGAATTAAAATTTTGCAGTTATGTTTTCTTCCTTTTTTTTTTTTTTTTTTTTTTTTTAACTACAGAAATTGGAGCAGGGGACCATTTTTTAAGAGAAAGGAAACATCTGCGTTAAAAAAAATGCATTTAGCGTTCCCCCCAAATTATGTCCAGGTTTGGCCTGGTAAGAAATCCTTGAAAATTACACCTGCTGAATACAGACTTACTGAAGACAAAATGCTGTCACATGGAGCAAGCATAAGTTTGTGTAGTTCAAGAAGCTATTTTTGCAAGGACGAACTCTTTCATAATGCAAAATCTTTCCAAAAAAAAATCATGTCTTGCATGTCTCAAATTCACAAAGCGAATTTATTTATATTTTTTTCCATAAGCACGATGCACTATAGTTTCAAATTTGATTCTACAAATGGGGAAATAACCACTCATCTCAGACAGCTATGGTGAAAATAACTGTATTGAAATTTTAAAACTTAATACACTCAAAGCTGTGAAACCTGCCAAGGAAATCTGTAGAGAAATCACATATATTCCTTTCTTCTCTTGACAACCGATCAGACACATTGTCCTTGTGAATTATGTAAAACATTAAAACACACTGTTCTGTACTGCACTGGATCTTCTTGGCGACATCTGCAGGTTAGCTTTGTAGAATTTAAATGTACTGATTAACCAGAATATAACATCTTTATTTCGCAAATTTCATTTCTTAAGTATGATTTTTAAAAAAATGAAACTCATTAAGTATTTCATTTCTATATACTTTCTTTCGTGAACTACTCTTAGCCTTTAAAATAAAATAAAAAAAATATATGTGATCTTTATTACAAGCTCTAACCTTCTCAAAAAACTTTGCACAGAGTATCTACATCCAGAGTGGAAACTTCCTGGTGGGATAACTGTGCCAGTAACTGTCCTGGAGAAGCTTCATTTTTAAATGATAGTCAAAATGTAATGCTTCTTTTTAGTAGTCAATTATTTTAATGACTGGAAATACCTTAGCTGTATGTGTTTACCTACCTCTGAAGCACATTCTTGTAGTGTCCCCGCAACTGGGGTTAGGATGCTTTTATGTGAACTTTTGAGCCATTCAGCTAATAATGGAATGCCTCCAGCTTTACGGATTGCTTCTTTGTTTTTGGTACTTTTGCTGCAGCTCCAGAGTGCTAAAGCCCCACAGCGTGCTATTTCAGTATCTTTTGCCTGAGATGGTGTTAGACCAGTTGATCTTACTGAAGTACATGCCAACAATCCAACCTAAAAAAAAAAAAAAAACAAAAAACAAAACAAAACAAAACTTTTTTTATTTGTCTACAAATATGTGTCATAGCAAGCTCATTAAGCTGCTTTTTAATGATGGCACATACTATCTGAAGACTCATGTATGCAAAAAATGACACTTTGGGAAAAAATATACTTACCAATCTCTTGATTCCTCCATGAAGCCTTACTGTCCTTCGTGCTCGTTTAAATCTAGCAACATTAGCAATTGTTTCAGCTGCCAAACATTTTAGTTCTTTATCCGGCGAGTCCAATATTTTCACCATGATCTCTAAGCCCCCAAGATCTGCAATTGCATGTCTGATCAATGTATTTTGACTAATTTCCTTCAGGATTTTTAATGAACCAATCTAAATAATGGAAGATAACAGACATTAAACATTATTTAAGAGTACATAAGCAGAAAAATCTATAAAATGAAGGGTTACACAGAACATTTTAACTTTTAAATCAAATCAGAAGAAAGCAATTGAAAATCATTGAAACTGATTTTCATCTAATAAGTCCTTGCAATTGAGAAAATACAGAAAAAAAAAAAGAAAAAAAAAACAGTTTTCTTCATCCTATATAACCATTAAAATTGAAAACATATGCTAATAGAAAAGGTATATTCACAGCTCTTTTCAACAAAGCTTCTTACCTGGCATTTAATTTCTTCTGTATCAAGTAAATTAATTAACACTTCAAGACACCCAATGTCTCTGATGGCCAGCTGGCATGTTTCTTGAGCCAGATTGAAATCTCTCATTGAACACAATGCAATTACTGTAGCTGTTGGATTACCTCCCTAAAAAAAAGCAAATATTTAACATATATAAAGTGCATTTAATATAAAACCTAATCTTTTCTACTACTAGTAGTAAAACTTATACTAAAGGAGAAACTTGTTAGATTATTTTTTATTCTATATTGTCAAATGACATAGACATAATAAGAAATGGAATTATTAATAAAGTCTGCAAATGACATATAGATCAAGGTGAGAATGAATAGCACAGATGATTTATGACTAATACTGCCTGCTGTGAATGGACAAGTAAATTAGATAGTCACGTATTAGAAGTTTTGGTATGAGCACATATCAAAAGAACACACGGTGAAGATACAGACATTTCAGAGAAGCTATCTGCATTCTTTGCATTGGTGTTTACTATAGAAGAAATCAAAGAGACTCCAAACTGGAATCATTCCTCGTGGAGGACATTTCAGAAGATTTGCCTGAAACTGAAGTTACTGTTGAAAAAGTTATTAAAGAAATCCTGACATAGTAAACAATAAAAAAAAATGCCACTACTAGAGAGCATTCAATTGAGTTATAAAGAAAACTGAGGGTAAAATAGTTGATCGAGTACAAATGGTACATATCCGGTCACTTGAAACTACCTGATCACCGAAGTACCAGGAAACAACAAATGTTTTTTAAAAGAGTTCAGTAGTTATCCAAGGACTGTTAGCCAAATATCTGTACTGGAAAAAAGAGTAGACTGTAATAATGAACAGAATTAAAAGACATCTGCCTAAATATGACATTCTTGGTACAGTATGATATATTTAAGAGTCAGCATAGATCTGTTAAAAGAAGTCCTGCCTTACAAAACTTGCAAAGTTTGTGGCAATGCCAGTCTAGCTGATAAGTTTAACTAGTTGATATGTCTACATAAATCTTTAGACAAACCCCTGATAGCTTTCATAGAAACTAGGCCACTATATTATACGACTGAAGGTCATTGCATAGATTAAAAAGAATGACTAAAGGATAGGAAACTGGGAATAAGAGTAAATGGTCAGTTCAATGAAGAGGACTGATTTAGTGGAGTTCCATGGATATGTGTTGAAGTTGTGAAATTTGACATACTCATAAACACTCTGGAAAACAAAAGGACTAGTTACACAACAAAGTTTGCTGATGATACTATGCTACTACTTAAACCAAGCCATTTAGGTCCAGTTGTGACAAACTGCTAAAGAATCTACTAAGGCTAAGATGGCAATAAAATAGCAAATGAGAAAATGAGAACTGATGCACATCAGAAAAACAAAACAAAACAACAAAAAACAATCCTAAATCAACAGATGAAATGATGAGTTTTCAAACAACCATTCAAAATTAGATGTTATATCTTGTGATTATGTGAGATGACAATCAAAAACCAAACAGAATATTAGGACTTGGGAAAAAAAAAATGTGAACAGAGAATGTCACTATAACACTGTTTAAACCCATGCTACACATGCACCTTAAAAACTTTTTTTCATTTCTGCAGCCTCAATTTCAAGATTACTGTAGCATCGGAAATATTTCAGAGAAAACAGCAAAGATAATGCAAGGTTTTTTCAGTCTAGAAGGATAAGCGAAGGGATATGATAAGAGGCCTGCAATGTTAGGAATGGCATTGAGCAGGATAAATAGGAACTAAATGTTAAATGTCTCTTTAAATACAGATATAAACTCTTTTAATAATGGGAAGTTAAAAAAAAAAAAAAGGTGTAGGTTCATGAAAAAAAAAAGTAATAAAATAAAATGGTTCCAAGTGGAACTAGCTGTGAAAGGATTCTATGAAAGCTGAAAGTTTTTATGAGTTTAAGAAGAGACTCAATGAGTTCATGAAAAGTAATCCACTGAAGGTCAGTAAAACCATAAATATCTCACTCAGTTTCCAATTCCCTGAGCTAAAAATGGGTAGGGGTTGGAGGAGTGTTATACTCATGTTTGCCCTGTTCCTACTCTACCCTGTGCATTCATTTATTGGTCTGGGTTTCTTCTTCCTTGGTAGAATACAAGCAGAGCTTCACACTACTACACGTTATGCAGTGAAGTTTCCCACATTTATGGAAATCAGAGGTTAGGCTATCTAGAGTGCATGAGAAGAGCTTTAACCACAGAAAACTTCCATTGTGATTATCCTGTCTCCCTTCCTGTTGCAGTCAGGATATTGGGCCACTCTGACTTACCATCTGCCCCAAACCAGTCTCTTTCACGTCCAAATTCAAGGTCATACTCTTACAAATAATGAAAACAGGATATACCCCAGTGTAGGAGTTCTATACAGGAAACCAGGGCATGTAAAAAGACTTGTGATGTTGAATAAGAATTTGAGATTACAGTGTATCATTTGATTGAAGTGATATTTTATGATATTTTGGGTAGATAAGTGAATATACTGAATAGGAATATAGGCATTACCTCCTTTTAGGCACTTGTGCTACTACCAGTATTGTGTGTCCAATTTTCTTTTTTACAGTTCTAGAAGGAAAGTGAAAAAATGGAGATGATTCAAAGAAGAGAAAGAAAAGTTACTGTAAGCCTGGAAAACTGCTGCATGAAGTCAGACATGAGAAACACTATTTAGTTTATTAACAAGTAAGGTAAGGTATGATTTATTCATAGTGAAAGAATACATCTGTGAGGAAAAGGAATGTGATCACAGTGCGCTCTGCAGCCTATCCTGATGTTTGATGATTTGAGGTAAAAGGTACTTGAATTTACATGACAAGTAAAGTGCAAGTTTTCCACAGTGTGGTTAGTTATCCTTTGGAAGAAGTTTTTAGGGTGACGATAAGTTTTCCTGCAGTGGAAATTTTTCAGTCAAGATTGGATGTTTTTCTAAACGATAAGCTCTATTTCAGCCACAGCAACTAGACTAAGACCAAGAAAAAGATCAAAGAATACACCCTGTTGTAGGCAGAAAGTTAAACCATATGATAACAATAGATTCTTTTGAACCCCTAACACAGATTTACTATTAATCAAATCAGAAACGAATCCAGCTACACAAAAATTGGGAGGGTTGAGCTACCATGAAGCTGCAAAAGAAGCTGGAGTGCATGAACAATGGCAAGTGCTGCTCAGGAGGAAGTTACAATTTAGTGCACATAGTAAATCAAACTACTGTCTCCACCTCCCAAACGCCTTTGAATTCCAAGGAAGCTCTGGCTCACACCCAGATTTGAACTGTGCTGCCCAAGCCCATCTATTTTAAATGACACCTTTGAAACTGTCAAAGACTTTGAGCCAACATTTTCCAGAGGAAAATAATTTGCTAATCTGTGTACATCAGACCAAAATATAAAATACTAAAAAACTGAGTAATGTTTGCTAATGTGAAACAAGTAGATCTAACCAAAACACTGACATTTTGCAGCATATTTCTTAAACGTAAACCATAGCAGTAAAACAGATACACTGTAAAAAAAGTATTTAAAAGTATTTAAATTTAACACGCTCTTCTTCAGCAGATACCATAAAAGGTAGCTGTTATGCCCAAAATGAATGTGAGAAAAACACTTGGTAAAATTTCAGATCAGTAGCTTATATCAGACTAAACTTTTCTGTTAATCAATGAAGTATATGTGGATGGCACCTCATAGCTAATTTTTACTCAAATTTCTTGTAACTATAGATACCCACAGAACTTCCCCAGCAAATTGCTTAAAAGTGGTGTGGTTTTTTGTTTGTTTGTTTGTTTTTAACATCTGTAACATATCTTGTCCTAAAGGAAGATTTCTACAAATTAGTCATGTTATCTTTTTATCTGTCATTTTAGCCTTGACTTCAGAAGAAAATGCCACTTGTGCCTAGCTTTAAGAACATATTTTGATCTATTTTGTACAGTATCTCCTATAGAATAAAGTATTGTAGCAATTTCTCAAATATTTTCCTAGAAATCAGTTTATCCACATCTCAAAGTTTAAACGTTTTTTTTTTTAAATCTATAAAATATTGAAAAACTACACAGAATATTCGATAGCTCAAAAGAACTAACGGTTGTCCTTTTGTGAAGTTTATGGTCTTTTCATATAGCTTAATAGTTTGAGGTTTATTTTGCTTTGAATTATAAAATAATAATAAAAAAATTGCAACAGGTGTTTAAAGAGAAATTTTCTCTTTTTATTACTTTATATAACTGTAAGAAAGGTATTATTGACCTGACAAATGACATCTCTTCTTTTGAGAAGTGCTTCTCCTGTAGTGAAACTACATTTATATATAATGTAGTAATTCATATTTCACTTATATGCATAATGCCTGGCATGAGACATTTAATACAGACAAAGTTTAAAAAAAATAAACAACTTTTAATTCTCTTATATTAAATCAAAAATAGAACAGTATATGAAAAAATATATATGCATTCAATTTTTTTCAGCTTCAAAACTGAAAGCTGAAAATGCATAACTCATGTTTTCAAAGTAAAACCACAAAAAAATATTTTTCATATGTTCTGAAGCATCAGTTCTACAAAATAAGAAATTATACCAATGGTTTCAACGATTATTTTTTTCTTTCCTGAAGTTATCATTACAGCAAGTCTTCCAGTACTTACAACACAGATTTAACATGCATGGAAATACTTACCTCTCCATTAAGTTGACATAAAATCTGCATCATGTTGTTATAACATTTGAAATCTGATATGTTGGATACAAAATAAACTCTACTGGCAGATTAACAATCATTTTTAAGGTTTCAAATTAAACACAGATTTAGTTTAAAATCTGTCTCTCTTCCTATATGGTGGTATAACATATACGTCCACAAATTAAATGAAAATTTTAAGAGCATCAGTGTTATACTATCAGTAAAACATCTTCTGTGAAATGTATGTAATGTCACTTTTCTGATACTCAGAGCTCATGGATGAGAATTACAGAACTATAAAGATATAAAAATATATGTATACAATGCCAGCTTTATTAGACAATGATTAGATTTTATACACATTTGGTATCTATGAGTTTGATCTCACTTTCTGTGCTGGGTGGGTGAAAGATTAGGAAAAGACCAGT